CACGGGCAGCGCCAGCCAACGGCCGGCAGCGGCGCGCGGGGCAGCGGGGAGGCGGCGGCTGGTGACGAGGAGGCGACGCAGGCTGACGACGACGCGGGGCAGACTGACGGGGAGGAGGAGGCTGGCGACGACGCGGGGTATGGGGAAGGGAGCTAGCTCCCTTCCCCATGCGGGAGAGGCCGACGACGAGGAGGGGAGGCGTGGCACGAGTCGGTGGTGTCAGCGTGGAGGGAGCCAAGGTGCAGAGGCGGACCCGCAAGTGGTGAGCACACGTGGAGCAGCAAAAGGAGGCGGACAGAGGCGGCGAGGGCGGCTGGGACGTGGGCACACCGCACACGCACGCACGCACGCACACACAACACACACACACACACACGCACACACACACACACGCACACACACACACACACACACACACACACACACGCACGCACGCACGCACACACGCACGCACGCACGTTCGCACGCATATTTTGCTCCGCCGGCAATGTAACCCCCACAGTCGCGAGTCAGTACGTACATGACGCTCGCACACTGCTTGCACCCAACTTTGTGGATGCAGGCCGTCCGCGTGGAGACCGGTAGCGGACGGGGGAGGCCCAGGCCCTGCCTGTGTGCAAGGGGCGGGCTGCTTGGAGAACGGCGCGGTACGGTGGAGACCCCATCGCGCGTGCGCATGGGAAAAGGAACGAAAGCCGCAGAGGGGACGACGCTGTGCCACTCACACACACACACACACACACACACACACACGCTCACACTTTTACTCTACCGGCGAGGTGGTGGCACCGTCGCGAGTACTAAGGCGGGGCACGCTTCGTTCAATGCAACCTGGTGTTGCAGGTGGGGGGGGGCTGCGTGCAACACGCGCATAGACAGAATTGCCGCCTGTTGTCGAAGAGCGTTTTCAAGCAATGACGACATGATTGTATCACCGCAAGAGCGGAGCGCGGTGTCTCAGCTGCCAGCGAGGTGGGCGCCTGCGATGCGGACGCGTTGGCTGCAGGCCGCTTCTTTCTGATTTGGGAAAGCGGGGACCAGCAGCAGGGATAGGAACAAGAGTAGCACGCAGAGTAGGGGGAGCTCAGTTATACGATCGGGGATCTTAAGGCGAGCGGCGGCTGTGGACCCCACTCCCGAGAACTTCGCCAGGATTGCGATGGTTCAGAGACTCATTCTCCTCATCTCCACCCTAATCCTCGGCGTCATCCTCCTCGAAAACCCCATCCTCCACCTCTCCATACCATAGGCTTCATTGCGCGAGCAGCTGGCAGTGGGAGGTAAGAGTCGAGTTGGAGTCTTGATGCTGATGCTCCGCCTCCACCCATGTTCTCCCTCCTAGTTCTCCCGTCTTGTTTCGAATGACTCTCCCTCCTTATCATCTTCCCTTCTTGATCCACCTCCTCCTCTTCCTCCCTTGCCATACTCCGTCTCGCTCCTTTCCGCTCTCCTCCTGCTTCCTCCCCTCCCCCAACTCTTCTTCTGGCCTGTCGCACACTCCCCCTTCCTCATCCCCATCCTAGCCTCGTATGTCCTTACCCAGTGCCCTCATTCCCGTGCCTCCCCCCATGTCATCCCCGTGTTCCTTCCGTATCCCCGTTTCCGCGGACGCCACCCTTGTACCCAGTCGCTCCTCTCTTTCCTTCTCCTTCCTCCTCCTCCTCCTCCTACGACTACTACTACTACTACGACTACTACTACTACTACTACTACTACTACTACTACTACTACTACTACTACTACTACTACTGCTACTACTACTCCTACTCCTACTCCTACTCCTACTCCTACTCCTACTCCTCCTTTCCTCCTCCTCCTCCTCCTTCTCATTCCTCTTCTCATCCCTTCATCCCTCGCTCCCTTCCTCGCCGCCACCGTGCCGCCCAATGTGGGCACTCTCCTCGGGCGACCTTGTGCCGCTTGGCCGTCGTGCCCTGGGCTCGTGCAGGATGAGAGGGACAATGGCGGGGAGAGACGGAGGCATAGCGAAGCGGGACGGGGACACTGACCGCGGCGACGGCGACGAGAAGGAAGATGTGGCAGGCGCCTCGCCAGCTCGGGCAGACTCCAGGGCGCGGGCCGGGTGCCCCGCTGCCACGGATCCCGGAGAAGCGTTGCCGTCCCCGCCATCGATCGTCGGGGGCGGCGCGGAGGGGTGGTGATGACTCGGGGGGGGCTCGGACATCATGGCGGGGGCCATGATGTCTCCCCAGATCTCATGGCGCCTCTTCTTGCTTCAATGCGTTCCCTGGCCCCCCCCCCCCCTGGTCCGCGCACATGCCTCGGGCCACGATTTGCACCCCCCTCTCTTGGACGCCCCCCTCTCCGACGTCCCCGACGTCGATCGCCAGCATCACGGGAGCGGGAGCCCTTGGCGGGAGGGCGCAGGGCCGCCTCCAGAGACGCCCGCGCCCCCCAGTCGCGAGTGCGCTCGGGACGCTCTGCGCGACCCTGCCGCCGCCACGCTGGGGCCGCTGGCCTGGGCGGGCCCCGAAGCCAGGACGGCCCACGCTCCCGAGGAGGAGGAGGAGGAGGAGGAGGAGGAGGAGGACGAGACGGAGGGGAGGAGGAGGAGAAGGAGGAGGCGGAGGACGGAGGAGGAGGAGGAGGAGGAGGCGGAGGCGGAGGAGGCGGAGGACGGAGGAGGAGGAGGAGGAGGAGGAGGAGGAGGAGGAGGAGGAGGAGGGGGAAGGAGGAGAAGGCGGAGGAGGCGGAGGGGAGGCAGTCTGTCTCATTTCCATGTTTCTCCGTCGCTCTCTTCCTACACGCAGAAGCGGGGCTTCGAAAGAACTGGCCTTGAGTTCCGATCCGATCCGATCCGAGGCGGACGAGAAGCAGCAGTGGGGAGGACGGCCCACGCTTCCTCGGAGGAGGAGAAGCACACAAAGGAGGTTTAGGTTGAGTTTTTGGAAGGCGGCTCTGAGGGGTCATTCGTCGCTCTGTGGTGGGTTTTGTTGGGGCGCCAAGGACCCTTGCGCTGCGGGCGGGTCATTTCTCTTTTGTTCTGCTGCCCGGCCGCGCATGCCCCTCCCCCCCACTTGTCCTCACCTTGCGCCCTCCCTCCCCCGCTCTCGCGTCCCTACCCTCCTTCCCTCCCCTGACCCCAGCGGCTAGGGCGCTCGCAACGCGCACCGAGGCGCAAACTGCCCTCTGTCCGCCCTCCCCAGCCCGCTCCATCTCCCCGCTCCCCGCCCCCCGTCGGCTCTAATCTTCTAGGCCTTCCAGATGGGGTCCGAGTAGATAGGGTCGGAAAGTCGCGCCGCATCGCCGATGCATCGGCGATGCGGCTTGATGTGAAGCCCGATTTTCTCCACGCCGACGGCGTCGATACATCGCCGACGTTGTTGATACATCGGTGGTGTGTCGGCGATGCGGTGCAATCTTCTGACCCCATCTACTCGGACCCCAGTTTGGAGGCTTCCAAAATCTGCACAGGGCCAGGCTTTCGAAGTCCGCATTTGTTTAGACTTTCGAAGTCCGCGTATGGCTGGGCATTCGGGAGCGTAACCGGTCAAGTGAAGTCAGACGGGATTCGGGATCGAGGTTGTTTCCATGGTTTGCGCGTCGCCGAGAGCTTTCTGAGAATAGCGAGGAAGAGGTGGAGGGCGCGGAGGTAAGAGGGAGGAGGGACGAACAGACGTCAGAGGAGAAGCAGTGTGGATGGGGCACAGGAGTGTACACTTGCTCGTGTACATGTTGAAAGGATTGGCCAGAGTCTATCCAACGGCTGCGCATCGCCAAGAGCTTTCAGGGGATGTTCACGCCGTCCCATGCAGTAATATAAGGCTCAAGCTGAGGAGGCACCAGACACCGTCTGCCTGATCCTCCTTTTCTCTTCGTCATTATCTTCCTCCTCGCCCTTGTGGATGGCAGTCCGTTGTTATTATCGCGCTCTGGTTTCGGCGCCGAGGGTTGCCTTCTTACATCACCATTTATCATCCCAATCGCCGTAGTGTAAGGCACTACTACGTGCGCGCATGTCTGGGCAGGGGATTGAGAATGGAAGGACGGCCGCAGCACCAGTGATGCGTGTTGGGCTTATTCTGGGTCTCCTCCCCCCTCCTCCCCCCTCTCCTCAACAGCACCTCACGTAAACGCAATCCTCCTCCACGCACGGCCACCACCGAACGCGCACGCAGCGAAATCTCATCAGGGTGCCGTTAGAATCGGCAGAAGGCGCGCATCAGGAGAACAGTGGAGACGACGACCACCACGACCGCCACGTGAAATCACCAACCCCCGAACGCTTGGTGGACAATCGCGCACACGCGTGCGGGTCCGCGCTCGTGGCCGCGCACCCCTCGCGCGGAACGTGACGTCACAGGGAGCTCAACCCGAGGCTTGAGTTGGCGCAGACGGATGCGGGTCTGCGCCCATTTCGGCGCAATTCTCACGCAGACGGTGCAGATAATGGTGACACATTGGAGATCGACGACGGTTTCAGTGACACAGGCGCATGCGGGCCCGCATCGATGTCAGCGCAGCCCTCGCGCAGTTCGTGGTCCCACGGGGGGGGTCCTCCTACGGGGTGCCCGCGCCAATTTCGGCACAACTCTCATGCATACCGTGGACCTGTAGGGAGCTCCACTTGCGTTCTGAGCGGACGTAGACGTACAGGAACCTTGCTCATGTCGCCACACCCCTCGCCCGCGCTGTTGTCCCAGTTGGGCTGAGATTCGCGCGGGCCCACGCCCATTCCGGCATATTATTTGCACACGCCGTGGCCGCATACGGAGCTCGCCATACGGTCCCAGCGGGCGCAAACGCATACGGGCCCGCATCCATTTCGGCACATTCTTGCGCAGCTCGTGGCCTCATTGCGAGCTCCCCACCTACGGCCCCAGTGGGCGCAGACGCATGCGGGACCGCGCCCAGTTCGGCACACCCATCGTGCAGATGGTGTCCTTAGCTCCATTTACGGCCTCAGTGGGCGCACGCAAATGGGTCCACTCCCATCGCGACACGCCCATCGCGCCGAGCGCTGTCCCACCAGGGGGGGTCCACCTATTGTCTCAGCGGATGTAGATGCATGCGGGCCCGCGCCCACGTTGGTGCACCCCATCACGCAGATCGTGGCCTCGTGATGAGCTCCACATGCGGACTCAGTTGGCACAGACGAGTGTCGGCTCGCGTGTCAGCACGCACCTGATGGGCGCAGACGCATGCGGGCATGTGGCCGCCCCCGCACGTCTCTCATGCAGACCGTGGCCACATAGGGAGTTCCACATACGGCTTCAGTAGGCGCAGACGCATACGGGCCCGTGCAAATTTCGTCACACCCTTTGCGCGGATCGCGCCCCAAATGGAGGTCCATGTACGGTTTCAGTGGGCGCGTTCGGTGGGGGGGGCGCCCATGTCGGTACACCCTTCTCGCCGATCGTGCCTCACAGTGTGGAGGTCCGCTCACAGCCTCAGCGGGCTCGTTCGCATGCGGGCCGTGGCCAGTGCCGTCCCACCCCTCCTGCGGATCGCGCCCCACAGAGAGGCCCACTTTCGACATGAGTGGGCGCGTTCGCATGCGGCTCCCGCACATGTCAGTACACTCCTCCCGCGGATAGCTGCTTCGCAAGCATCTCATCGCGCTTCTGCGCGGCTGGACCACAACCCCTTCATCCGCATTGTCCCGCGGCGCGAGGTATATGAGGAGAGGGCCGCGCTGTTCGCTACACATCGCCACACAGCTGCACATGGTTGGGCACGTCGCCAGGTTTCTTTTTTAGGAGGGGTCGACGATCCTCTTTTCAGAGCCCCGTGACTGTCGCGCTGTAGCATAAATAGCCTTCTCGGATCTACCAGCTCATTCATGCACACACACACATATTCATACTCACTCGCACCCTGACTCATTCATAGTCAGGCTTTACCCGCTCGCACGGAGGCCCAATCATATGCCAAACGATTCACTCACAAGTACCCGTGCCACTCATGTCTAGACGCATTCCCGCACAGACGCACCGATGCCCAGCCACTCATACCCAGACTCGCCCATGCGCAGCCCCACTCAGACCCGGATCCACTCACAGACAGATGCCCTCATATTCAGCCACGTGTAGCACAACATTCATATTCGCCCACATTCAGGTACAATCATGCTCGGAACCCTCCTATTCAAAGACACAACTCTCCAGACTCATGCAAAATCTGGCTCAATCGCACCAGTGTCCAATCCTAGGCAGACTTGCTCTTATTCAGCCGCTGACGCTGAGCCACCAAAATTCATTCACTCATAGTCAGAAGCATGAAGCATTCATACCAATCACCAGTCGTGTTCAGACCCTCTCACATACAGACCAGCTCACACTCATATCCGCTCATAGCTTGTACATCGTCGTTCATACTCAGTCTCATGCACATGTACATTTCACACGCAAGCAGGCACCCAGTCCCAGTCCACCTCGCGCAGTCGCACTCGCGCATGCCCGGCCACTGAGCCAGGAACGCGCTAGGAAATAGTACGCACGTGCGGGATATCAGCGTCGACGGAACGTCCACGGCGGGGCAGCTCTGAGGGGGGAGGGAGCGTGACATTCCTCACTCCTCCTTCTCCTCCTTCCTCCTCTTCCTCCTCCATTCTCCTTATAGATAACTTTTCCCTGTCTCAGCCCGAGGCCAGTTTTTAGGGCGGGCCGGGCGTTTCGTTTGAAACATCCTCACCATTTATGACTCTGAAGCTTAAAAAGTAACAACAGCTTCGCAGATGGATGGCGGGTCGTTTTCAAAAAGTGGCTCTCGCCTTAGCTCCGCGCACATTCGTGTTCAACGTTTGCACAATCTTCACGGATTGAGGGCGGGTCGTTTTCAAAATACGATTCTCGCTTTAGCGCCGCGCACATTCGTTTCAAACATTTGCAAGAGCTTCACGGATTGAGGGCGGGTGGTTTTCAAAATGTGGTTCTCGCTTCAGCGCCGCGCACACTCCGTTTAAACATGTGCAGGCGTTTCTCGGAGTCCCATGGTGTTTTGGAAGGGTTCAGGACTTTGCGGGCGCAACAGTTATCTTGATTCGCTGTCTTGAAGTCCCAAAGACGGCGTTTTGACACGATTTCGGATAGTGAAGACGCGGCAGTCAGGATGATACGTGGCGTTGAAGTTCCGAGAACAATGTTTTGGCACGTTGCAGGATCGTCAAATGGTTGCCTTCCAACGAGGCAGTTCCCTCAATGGAAATGAACAGAGGGAACTTGGAGGGATGGTTCATTCCAACATCGTTGATGATTCTTGGGTTTACACTGGTCCCCCATTCCCTCCTCCTCTCCTCCTCCTCCCCCTCCTCCAGCTGCCACGGTTGCTCGAGCGATTTTGCCGGCAGCAGGCCAGACTTTGTCGCAGCAGCCACAGCTGGGGGCTTCCTCGCATCCGCCCCTCGGCGCGTCGTGAGCCGTGGCTGGGAGGTACGATGGTACTCGGCTGGAATCCTCAAAGCGCCCGCGGTGACCGCCTTGAGGAATTTGTTTTGGCGTGCAGGTTGTTCGATGTCATTCTGTTGGGAGGTACTCAAGC